TTTTTTTTTTTTTTTTTTTTTTTTTGAGACAGAGTCTCAGTTTGTTGCCCAGGCTTGAGTGAGTGCTGTGGCGTCAGCCTAGCTCACAGCAACCTCAAACTCCTGGGTTCAAGCGATCCTTCTGCCTCAGCCTTCCGAGTAGCTGGGACTACAGGCATGCACCACCATGCCTGGCTAATTTTTTTTCCATATATTTTTAATTGGCCAATTAATTTCTTTCTATTTTTAGTAGAGATGGGGGGGGGTGTCTCGCTCTTCCTCAAGCTGGTCTCGAACTCCTGATCTTGAGCGATCCTCCCACCTCGGCCTCCCAGAGTGCTAGGATTATAGGTATGAGCCACTGCGTCCAGCCCAGCCTTTCTTTTTTATGACATTAATCCTTTTGAAGAATACTACTTTCCTTTTTGTAAACAGACTCTTCCTCATTCAAACTTTGTCTGATATTTCCTCATGATTAGATTCAGCTTATACATGCTTGGCCAGAATACCACATAGGTGGTGATGCATCCATCTTGGGATATCACATCTGGAGGCCCACGATATCCATCCCTCCCTCGTTGGTGATGTTGATACAGTGGAGAACTGGACAACAACTTAACTAGATGATGATCATCTAGTTAAGTTGTTGTCCAGTTCTCCACTGTATCATCCAAAAAGAGTTATTTTTTTTATCAAACACATACACCCATAAAACTCATAAGTCTGGTTATTCCGGTGAATGTTCATATTTGAAACTTTTTGATAAATTGCTATTTTAATTGATCTGCAGAAACTTTCTCATTCTCTGAAACTATAGATTACAGTGTAACCATTGTTACTTATTTTTTCTCTTTTTTTTCTTTGCCATTAAAAACTATATAGAGGCAGCCGTGCCCCCATGGGTTGACAGTAATGATGAAGAAACAATTCAACAACAAATCTTGGCCTTATCAGCTGTAAGTATCTTGTGATACTCTGGATAGAATATACTGTCTTCCTATCACGGTGAATCTCTGTTGATATGACTTTATCCTTAGAATTTTTTTTTCTTTACAGTTTTTTAAACATTTTGAGGTGTTAGGAATGGAATGTACACATCAACTTTCACTATTTTTTTAACTAAGTTTTTTTTTAATTAGTTTAATCTTTTTATATTTTTATTTTACTTTATTATTTCTTTATTTTTACTCAATGAAGAATAAACATTAGTGAGAATTAACTATGTTTTAATTTGCTTATCCTTAAGTTCTTTCTTCATAATGTAAAAGTATAGCTATTATGTGAAATGATTCTTTCAACCTTAAAAAGGTTATTTTCTGGCCAGGCGTGGTGGCTCACACCTATAATCACACTCTGGGAGGCTGAGGAGGGAGGATCACTTGAGCTCAGGAGTTCGAGACCAGCCTGAGCAATAGTGAGACCCTGTCTCTACTAAAAAATAGAAAGAAATTAATTGGCCAACTAAAATTATATAGAAAAAATTAGCTGGGCATGGTGGTGCATTCCTGTAGTCCAAGCTACCTGGGAGGCTGAGGCAGGAAAATCACTTGAGCCCAGGAGTTTGAGGTTGCCGTGAGCTAGGCTGACGCCATGGCACTCATGCTAACCCAGGCAACAAAGCGAGACTCTGTCTCAAAAAAAAAAAGTTTGTTTTCTATTATTAAGATAATCATTTGAGCTATGCTATGATGACGTTGTTGGCAGCATTCTAATTCTTAATGAAATGATTGTATTCTATGTTTTGTCTTTAACTATATGTATTTGCTGGAAACTAAAATTGACAGTGATAAAATTCTATATGCTGGCCCATAAAAATTTACCTCAGGATTTCAGAGGGAATGTAGCAATACCAGTTAACAATTTTGTAGCATGTGACAGTTTCAGAAAGCCCTTTCTCACACATTCTCTCTCTCTTTTTTTTTTCAAACAGAGTCTCACTCTGTTGCCCAGGCCAGAGTGCCTTGGCATCAGCCTAGCTCACAGCAACCTCAAACTCCTGGGCTCAAGCAATCCTCCTGCTTCAGCCTCCTGAGTGGCTGGGACTACAGGCATGTGCCACCATGCCCAGCTAATTTTTTCTATATATATTAGCTGGCCAATTAATTCCTTTCTATTTGTAGTAGAGACGGGGTCTTGCTTTTGGTCAAACTGGTTTCGAACTCCTGACCTTGAGCAATCCGCCCGCCTCCGCCTCCCAGAGTGCTAGGATTACAGACGTGAGCCATTGCGCCTGGCCTGGGACCTCAGTATTTAAAACAAATGAATGCAGAACTGAACTCCCTTCCATTGCCATTAACCCAGGGAAATTTAAGGTTTTTTTCTTCCCACTTAGTAAACTCTTTAAAGGCCCGAGCATGCGTTACTAGTTCAGTGTGAGTGCTGTGCATTTTGTTTCCAGCATTACAGCCAAACTTGACACTGAGGGTGCGTATCTGCTCATCCTGAGAAGAGAATGGGAACAGTAAGAGTTGGTGTCATTTGAAGGCAAACATCCACATACTCACTAGTCAAGTCCCCACAGCTCCTCTTGTCCCCAAAACCTGTTCCTGTATTTATCTTCTCCATCTCAGAATAAGACTCTAGTTATTCACATATGTTTCTAGCAAAAACCTAGGGGTTTTCCTTGAATTGTATCTCTCCCCTGCTCCCAGTGCCTTAGTCTGTCCCTTCAGTGCTGTGTTCAGAATGTAGCTCTAGGCCGGGCGCTGTGGCTCACGCCTATAATCCTAGCTCTTGGGAGGCTGAGGCGGGAGGATTGCTCAAGGTCAGGAGTTCAAAACCAGCCTGAGCAAGAGCGAGACCCCGTCTCTACTATAAACAGAAAGAAATTAATTGGCCAACTGATATATATATAAAAAAAAATTAGCCAGGCATTGTGGCGCATGCCTGTAGTCCCAGCTACTCGGGAGGCTGAGGCAGAAGGATCACTCGAGCCCAGGAGTTTGAGGTTGCTGTGAGCTAGGCTGACGCCAAGGCACTCACTCTAGCCTGGACAACAAAGTGAGACTCTGTCTCAAAAAAAAAAAAAAAAAAAAAGAATGTAGCTCTAGTCTGCTTCTCTGCTGCCACCATTTTGGCCCTGATCCCTTCATCTCCTGCCTCAGGCAACCTGAGGACCGGCCCATCCTTGCCCCTTTTATTGACTACAATCTCACCTCAGTAGCCAGAGGGATCCATTTATGGTGTAAGTTACTTTGTGTCACTTCCCTGCGTAGACCCTGAAAGTGTATGTCGTCACTCATGGACTATAAACTAAACCCCTCCACTGGCATCTCAGGCCCTTGGCTCTGCCCAGTTCCTCCCTTGTGCCTGCGCCCCTGACACGTGGCACTCCAGCCATACTGTTCCTTTCTGATACAAAAACAGGCCCCACTTTGCCCTGCCTTAGGGTCTCCATGCTTGCTCCCTCCTCTTCCTGCAAGCCCCTCCCCACACCATTGCACAAGATCTCAGCACACCTTTAATCCTAGCACTCTGGGAGGCCGAACCAGGCAGATCGCTCAAGGTCAGGAGTTCGAAAGCAGCCTGAGCAAGAGTGAGACCCTATCTCTACTAAATATAGAAAGAAATTAATTGGCCAACTAAAAATATATAGAAAAAATTAGCCAGGCATGGTGTTACATGCCTGTAGTCCCAGCTACTCAGGAGACTGAGGCAGAAAGATCGCTGGAGCCCAGGAGTTTGAGGTTGCTGTGAGCTAGGCTGACACCACAGCACTCTAGCCTGGGCAACAGAGTGAGACTCTGTCTAAACAAGGACAACAAGAAACATCTCAGCACAGGTGCCACCTCCTCCTAGAGGCCTTCCTTCACCACCCTTTCACGCCATCACCCATCTCCTAGCCATAGCAATCTTTTTTTCTTTTTCATTCTATAGGCCTATTAATGAGTTACAGCCATAGCAATCTTGAACCCTTGTCTCTCTCCTCCCATTCCTCCTACCCCACCCCCTAACTCAAACGTAAGTGCCTCAAAGGCAGGGAATACACGTGTGTTCACTGCTGAGCAGATAGCATGGCAAGAAGGTTCCCAAGATTTCCGCAAGACCGAGAGGCTTTGAAACCTCTTTAATGTGTTCTTTGTAATAGCAGCTGAATTTGTTAAGGGATAGACTAATTTCCTGTAATAGAGACATCCAAAACTATAGTTGTTTAAATAAGCTATGAGTTTTTCTCTCTTCCTCTCTCGTTCCTTTCCTTCCCCCCTCCCTCTTGCTCCCCTCATCTAAGTAGGTGTGCTTTGCCCCACGAGGTCACCTGGGAACCAAGCCAGGTTCCTCCTGTCTTGTTCCTGTGCCGTCCCCTAGGATGTTGTCTGTCCTCACCTATAATGTACAGTTGAAGCCAGCTCCCTGTGACCATTGCTGTGTTAGGACGAGGTGGGCATGCCAAGCCATTTTAAGGCTGAGAACCAGAAATTGTACCTGTCACTTAGGCCCACATCTCTTGGGCACCTTAGACACATGGCTACCCCTAGATGCAAGGGATCCTCTGGCTGGATGGCCACATGACCCAGCTAGAACATGGAGTTGTAATCCTGGAATACATACTGGAAAACAGTTACCAATCTCTGCCAGAGTTGCCTCACAGTCTCTAACTTAGCCAGGCACTAGTTTGGGACAATTCAGAGAGTTTAGCAGAGTAACCCTTTAAGCTCCCTGAATTGGGGGGCCATTTAGGGCCACAATACATGAAAAGAAGTTGATACAGTTGTCATTAAGTACTTGTAAGAATTCAGTTCAGCGATTTTTTTTTTTTCTAACTACTCTGGACCAAGCCTTGTCCTAGGACCTGAGATAAATTTGACACACCCTCCAAAAGCCTGTACGTTTAGTAGGGAGCTGCTAAATAAATACATACTGTCATAAGTACTGTAATACTTAGGACACTAAGGAAGTGCAGAGGAGAGGAGCATTTCGTTTATTTTGGAGAAGGAAAAGGATGGTCCCAAGGAAACTTCTCAGAAGCAGTGGCACTGGAGTCAAGTTGTCATAGAAAGAGGGTGCAAAGCCGGGCACAGTGGCTCACGCCTGTAATCCTAGCACTCTGGGAGGCTGAGACAGGCAGATTGGTCGAGGTCAGGAGTTCAAAACCAGCCTGAGCAAGAGTGAGACTCTGTCTCTACTAAAAATAGAAAGAAATTAATAGGCCAACTCATATATATAGAAAAAATTAGCTGGGCATGGTGGCGCATGCCCGTAGTCCCAGCTACTCGGGAGGCTGAGGCAGGAGGATCGCTTGAGCCCAGGAGTTTGAAGTTGCTGTGAGCTAAGCTGACGACATGGCACTCACTCTAGCCTGGGCAACAAAGCGAGACTCTGTCTCAAAAAAAAATAAAAATAAAAAAAAAAGAGGATGCACAGACATGTGCAGGATGTGGGGAAGGGTTTGGCTTTCCAGGCGGGGTCATTGCAAGTGTTTTGGTTTTGACTGGTCTGTAAGATGTAGGTGGAGAAGTAGATGAAGATCCAGATCGTAAGGACCTTTTTATACCATTCTAGTAAATTTAGGTTTTATCTTGAAGGTGACAAAGAGTCATTGAAGAATTTTTTTTTTTCGGAGACAGAGTCTCACTCTGTTGCTCGGGCTAGAGTGCCGTGGCATCAGCCTAGCTCACAGCAACCTCAAACTCCTGGGCTCAAGCAATCCTCCTGCCTCAGCCTCCCGAGTAGCTGGGACTACAGGCATGCGCCACCATGCCCGGCTAATTTTTTGTATATATATTTTTAGTTGGTCAATTAATTTATTTCTATTTTTGGTAGAGACGGGGTCTCGCTCAGGCTGGTTTCGAACTCCTGGCCTTGAGCAATCCGCCCGCCTCGGCCTCCCAAAGTGCTAGGATTACAGGCGTGAGCCACCACGCCCGGCCTTTTCCATATATTTTTAGTTGGCCAATTATTTTCTTACTATTTTTAGTAGAGACGGGGTCTCGCTCTTGCTCAGGCTGGTCTCGAACTCCTGAGCTCAAATGATCCACCTACCTCTGCCTCTCAGAGTGCTAGGATTACAGGCATGAGCCACTGTGCCCGGCCAATTGAAGGATTTTAGTCATAGGTAGAATGTATGTTTTTCTTGGGGTGGTGTACAGAGTGGGTTGCTCTAGGCAGGGGAAATGGGACTGGAGACAGATGCCCATTAGGAGGCTGTTATAGAAATCCAGGTAAAGCAGGAAAGAAATTTCAGGCTTTGAGATTTTTACCCTAGCAGATAAAATAACTAAAATTCATTTAGGCTTGAATTCATTCATCTTTTATTAATGTAGAAATTATTAAAACCAAAAAGTTGTTAAAATCCAACATTGGCCGGGCGCGGTGGCTCATTCCTATAATCCTAGCACTCTGGGAGGCCGAGGCGTGCGGAATGCTCGGGGTCAGGAGTTTGAAACCAGCCTGTGCAAGAGTGAGACCCCCATCTCTACTATAAATACAAAGAAATTAATTGGCCAACTAATATATATAGAAAAAATTAGCCAGGCATGGTGGTGCATACCTGTAGTCTCAGCTACTCGGGAGGCTGAGGCAGAAGGATCGCTTGAGCCCAGGAGTTTGAGGTTGCTGTGAGCTAGGGTGACGCCACGGCACTCACTCTAGCCTGGGCAACAAAGGGAGACTCTTGTCTCTATATTAAAAGAAAAGAAAAGAAAAGAAAAAGAAAAAGAAAAGAAAATCCAACATCGACGCATGCCTGTAGTCTCAGCCACTCAGGAGGCTGAGGCAGAAGGATTGCTTGAGTCCAGGAATTTGAGGTTACTGTGAGCTATCAATGATGTCATTGTACTCTAACCCAGGCAATGGAGGGAGATTCTGTCTTTAAAAAGAGAGAGAAAGAAATGGGTGTGTGAGCCAGGAACAATGGCATGCACCTGTAGTCCCAGCTATTCAGGAGGCTGAGGCAGGAGGATCACTTGAGCCTAGGAATTCAGGGCTGTTGTACACCATGATGGCCTCTGCACTCCAGCCTGGGCAACATGGTGAGACCCTGTGTCTACAAAATAAAACTAAAAGATAAAAAAAAAAATGAATATGTGTTATGTTTACAAACAAAAAAGATTTTAAAGAAGAAAAGAAAGAAAAAATAGGGGAGAAACAAACTATCCTAATCAAGTAGTCCAAAACAGCAGCTTTTTGCTATTATGCTCAATCTGTAGGAGAGGGGGTGGTATGGAGACATCCCTTTGCAAAGCAATTAGCATGAGTCATGTTCCATCTCAGAGGAATTCAAAGCCATCCTTGTTCCATAGTATATTTGGCCTCTCCAGGGTCAGGTAATCCAAGAAGGCTTTGACTTTGGATCTTTCATTTTCTTTCCATCTTGGCTGACAGAAGGGACATGATCCAAGAGAAGTTAGGGACCCTTTCTCAGCTCTTGCAGGTGGGGCACGGTGGGTACTGTGCGTTGGGGATTTTATAGTGGTTCTCGGTCACATTTCCCACATTGTACCCAGGCTGTGCAGTCACAGGCCATGTTGAGCGTCTTTTGTAGTGGAATCATTTTCTCTAATATAGTCTTGAATTAAATTTCTTTTTAATGAGACTCCAATTTTTAATGTACTGTAATGATTAAATCAGGCGTCCTCAAACTACGGCCCGCAGGCCACATGTGGGTGTTTTTGCCCATTTGTTTTTTTACTTCAAAATAAGATATGTGCAGTGTGCATAGGAATTTGTTCATACTTTTTTTAAAACTATAGTCTGACTCTCCAACGGTCTGAGGGACAGTTAACTGCCCCCCTGTTTAAAAAGTTTGAGGACCCCTGGGTTATGGATTTCACTTTTTTCATGTGACCACATGGCTAGCTGACTCTCCAGCTTTGGGTTAGACTGTTTCTAAAAGGATTTACACTAGTTTTCACATACCTAAAGGTGCCCACTAAAACAAAGGAATGTTCATGTGATTTCAAACTTTAAGATTTCAACTAATCATGTGATTGAATTTCTTGGCTTCCCAAGAGGCTCTCTCCAGTTGAGAGTGTTTGAAAATATATGAAAGCATCAGCTGTTCCCTGGTCTCTCATAAGTGGACAGATTCATGATAGCTCAGTGGACTTTGTAGCTAAAAGCTTTAGAAAGAATTCAGTATTTAGAGGAATAACAAAAAAAAAAAAGAGGCTTGGCGCGGTGGCTCACGCCTGTAATCCTAGCTCTCTGGGAGGCTGAGGCAGGCAAATTGCTCAAGGTCAGGAGTTCGAAACCAGCCTGAGCAAGAGCGAGACCCTGTCTACTATAAATAGAAATTAATTGGCCAACTAATATATATAGAAAAAATTAGCCGGGCATGGTGGCGCATGCCTGTAGTCCCAGCTACTCGGGAGGCTGAGGCAGGAGGATCGCTTGAGCCCAGGAGTTTGAGGTTGCTGTGAGCAGGCTGATGCCACGGGCACTCACTAGCCCGGCAACAAAGCAAGACTCTGTCTCAAAAAAAAAAGAATTCAATACTTGTCAGGATGACATTGTTACATTTGTACTTGCGGTGTTCCCCATGTTTTTTTTCTTGTTTTCTTTTCCTTTTCATCAAAGGACAAGAGGATTTCTTCGTGACTCGGCGGGCGTGCAATTTAACTTTGAGTTTGAGCAGATGTACCCGGTTGCCCTGGTCATGCTCCAAGAGGATGAGCTGCTGAGCAGGATGAGATTCGCCCTCGTTCCTAACGGTAAGCAGTGTGTCCTTCAGTGTGTGTGGCACTGCGCGCACAGACGTCCTTTTCATCCCTAATGGCCTTGGTCATGCTCTCAGCATGAGAGGAAGAAGAATGGTCTCAGACTACTGTTCATAAAAGCGGGCCCTGTGGCCTTCAGCAGCCCCTCCCCCACCCTGCAGGGCACCCTGAATGCAAACCGAGGGGCAGGCTTTGCAGGAAATAAGGTGGAGATGAGATGTGCTCTTCTGTCACAGATAAAAGGTAGAACACTTTTCCTACAGAAACCGCCAAACATGCCTCGTCTCCCCAAATGAAACTCAGGTCTTCACAGCACACCAGAATGTTCTTTTCAAGCTCGTGGCTTTTCCTTTGAGGCTCTGCTCCAAGAGTAGCGTTCTTATTCACTTGCCCAAGGTTTCCTCCACTGCCGCTCTTCTGGGGAATCTCTCTCCC